TTATGGCACCGGAGGAACTCGTTGCTTGCGCTCTTGTAGAGACGCGTAGCTGTTCACAGGTCGAGCATGCGCCGTGGCATACATGCGCAAATCTGATGGAACAGGAAGAAGACAGACATCCCGGATGCGATCGACTGGCGACAGCGGAGCCCGGCTGTGTGTTCGCCAGTGAAGAGCCCCTCGGCTGCCTGCCATTGAACCAATTACGAGCAAATTGCGTGCACAGACGTATACTTCGAGGGAGCTTACGGAGAAAGCAGCTGCTATCGGACATGCATGACTTGTGTGGAGAACCCACGTTTCTAAGGCCAAGGCGGTTGCGGCCTGAGCATGGGAAGCCCTGCTGAGAATTGAAGCAGTCCCTTCAGAACGCAAAACATCGTGGCATGTCTGCCAAGTCCTTTTAGAAGGTTGCGGCAGTTGCTGGGCTTTTGCTGCTTCCACGGTGATCGTCACTTGGCTTAGCCGAGGCTGCAGTCTCTCCTCGTTTCGTTTCATGCGCATGCAGCCAAGGAAAGCCATGTGGCCATAAACACTGGCGTGCTCCTTTCACTGTCGCCTCAGGATTCTTGGCAGCAAGAGATGATTCAGTAGATCAGCCGTGAAGCAGCAAGCAAGTTGTCTTGTCTGGAAGTCGCGGCAATGGACATCAAGACGGCTAGTCAAACAAGTGCCTCGCGTCAGGAGATGACTTCTTGCACCCCGAATCCAGACGGTTGCGGGGGCGATGGTGGTTGCAGTGGGGCCACAGCTCAGCTTGCCTTTGCGTATACAGTCGAAGCAGGCTCGCCACTGTACTATTTAAGCAGAGGTCAGTGCTAATTTTCAACCGGAGAAGAGCCGATACAGGTGAACGAGAAAGAGTGAGCAGAGCCGAGAATCGCAAGCAATATCCGAAGCACCAAAACCCTGCAAGAACCAAATTGAGATGTGTGATTCCGGGCCGGGTCCACCAACATCAGCGAACGACTCAGCTGTTGGCGTCAGCATCCGGGTATCCAACTTAGATGATAGACTTAGTGGCCATGCAGGTGGTGTTTCAGACATCTGGCACAACCCGTACTTGAGCGGCATGGAGTTCAAAACCCGTTTGTGCTTCGCCCCCAGAAATGTTGCGGTCATTTGTCTAACACTGCTTCCTGATGCCGACCGGCAAGTACTTCTTGCGAGGCGAAAACAACACGCAGTTCTGGTTGCCGCGAAAGGCAAGCATCGAAGGCTTCGTCACGCTGCCACAAAACGATCCCCAGGCCGTTCCCATCCGTTGCACTTCAATTGGATTCTGCAGGGTCTTGCTACTCCCTGGAATCCGAGTCTTGCAGGCCTTGATGGAAGCAGTTGCAAAGGTTGGGCCCATAGCTGTCTCTGTGGATGCCACCGATTGGTGGATGTATGGAGGAGGCACGAGCTTTCTTGGCTGGTCATGATTCAAGCCCCGGCATCAGACAACATTGAAACAAACATTGTCTAGGTCTACGGTTATGGAAAGGCTTAATCTTGGCGGATCGGATGCTGTAAGGTGAGGTGTTACATCAGACGGACACCATAGGGCGGCGTGTTTGTGGTAGGTATTTTCGATGCCTGCAACAAGACGGCTCCCAACATCAATCATGCTGTGGTGCTGGATGGATATGGCATCGAGAATGGGACCAAATACTGGCTCATCAGGACCGGCAGTGGGCGCCAGCCGAATTTGCCGAAGCTGATTAGAATGCGAGGAATTCGTGGGGATACACCTTCGGAGAACACGGCGGCTGGGGCTGAAATACCGATTTGCCTTCCTGTGCTTCGTCACTAGCAGATGAGATTTCTTTCGCAGGCTACATACGACTTCGTCGACATGACGACGAGCCGTGCGGAGAAGATCCAGACCCTCTCGGAGGTGTCGGCTGCAAGGTCCGAGCTCAGCTCGAGCGAATTCGAGCGAATGTTGTCGGGACTGGTGACTGGTCTTTGGTTTTTCACGTAGGTTGGTGGACCGGAGAAGATCTGGGCCTGCGGCGAATGTGGTGTGCCAGCCTGAGGGTGCCCGCAGCGCGAGTGCCATGCGAAGAAGCAGCGAGGAGGTGTCTCCTTCTGTCCCAGGTGCTGTCGGACTCGTCTTACCCGTTGGGCGCAAATCTGGGGCCCAGAAAAAGCTTGGCGGAAGCGGGTGCCTGGACACAGAGAGGCTTCAGGAAGGAACAGAAAGGCATCACTTCTGGTTCTGTGTCATGTTTCCTCCGCAGAACGTTGAGGACCTGGAGATTCTCGGCGATTGGCCACTGTCCATGTCTGATTCCGCGGGCCGTCGTTCGGCCTCGGAGGACCTGACAGAACAGACCAGGTCGCCATGACTCTTGCTTGATCTAGTCACTCCAGTCCATGTAAGTTTGTAGGGGCTGGTCAGCAGGCTGTTCCACAATTAGCAGTTCTTGGGAAACTCAGAAAATGCAGCTTGCCCAGCGAGACAGATTCCCGCAAGACGAGGAGCCAAGTTTGGCTGTTCTCGCCGCATGTCGTTTTGCTTTCGCTTGTGTGTCTGTTCTGCACATGCTCTTTGAATTCAGACGGTTCCAGTCAAGCAGAACTGGGCAACTTTTTCAGCCTCTTGCAGTCTCGTCTCTACGTGTCCTTGGGACATCGGTAAAATCTAAGCTGAAATCGGGAAAAAGCTTTTGCTATAGAGTCTGCACGGAAGGCATCCAATCCCAAAAAGAGACTTTCGATATCTCACATGAGTGCAGTGCACTAAGTGCCGGTGCTCCTTGCAATGCAATTCTGGACAGCGGGGCTACAAGTGTCAGCGCTGCAAAGCAATTCAAGATTGTGACACCGCTCTGATGTCAAGAGGCAAGCCAGAAGCGATGGATGGGATGTGCGTGATCACAGCCGGAGATGAGCGGTCCAGTCGTGTACCCCGAGCTTGAAGGACCCAATACCACTCGGCTGATGCACGCGGCTGATGTACAGACTGTCTGACTCAAGGGAGAGAGCCATAGCAGGCGTGCCGCAGCATGCATAGATCGAGAGCTATGGCTACAAATGACAGAAGCTGGGCAGTTTGCATCGTGTCAGGTGGGAGTGCCGCTGCAGATGCCAGGGAAGCTCCTGAAGCCGCCGAAGCGTTCGGGCCTTGCACTGCTAGACCATGCTAGACCTCACCAGGATCTGCGTTTCGCGGGCTGAACACAGGGCATTGCAAAGGCGGTTCTGGAAAGGGAAAGGTTCAGATTTCTCTGCATACACAAGAGTCTCCGTGTTTCCCTCCAAGGTCAACGGCTCCTGGGCAGGCTGCCCCGGTGTAGAAACATACTCGCAGCAATGCTGTGTGAGCACAACACGTTCGGGTGTTTTGTTCCTGGATGTTGATGGTTGAACGCGGCTAAAAGCACAGTGGCAGTAGACTGTTAGCAGCGGTAGAGGTGTAAAGAGGCGTTGAGTCTCTACCGACTTTTCTGCAACAGGTGCCATCGGAAAATGGTGCTGCAGGACAGCTCGGACCAGTGTTACATAAACATTGGCTGTAGCGTGGGAACTAGCAGGAGCGGCGGCTGGCCACGAGGGCTCCACAGATGCTTCCGAGGCAGAAAGGAAACTAGAAAGGAAGCCCTCTTCGAATCCGTCCGCTTCTTCACACGGAGCCGCGAGGTGCCCGCGGCGTCTGACGCACAGGCCCAGGCCGCATCAGCTGCCGCAGCCCTGCGTCGGCCCAGCGTGGAGCTGCAGAGGGCAAGCTCATTTTCGCTGAGGTCTTGCCGACGCCGACGGTGTGGTGCACTGCTTCAGGTGGGGCCCGGTCTTCCTTGCTTTCTTGGGGCCCGCATGGCCGGCATAACAGGTGAAGCCTGGGCGGGCGGTGAGCAACCGGCGGTATGGTGTGGCTGCGGAGCTGGGGCCGCAGGCTGCGACCCTCAAGTCGCGGCTGCGCCGGCCGACAGAGGGAACTACGGCGGCTGCGAGTGGGGGGAGTGGGGCCACGGGGCCGCATCCAATGCTTGCAGTAGTGGCTACGGTGGGTGGGAAGGCTGTGGTTGTGGAGGTGGCGGCGCCTCTGCGGCTTGTGGCGCTTGTGGATCCAGCTTTGCAAAGGGCAGCTTCGACGGTGCCTGTGGCTTCCCCTGTGGGAGTGGTGTTCCAGGCGGCTGCTTTAAAGGTGGCAGACCAGGTTGGCCCGGCAAGGGCGCGGGCACGGGTGAGATGTGGGCCCGCGGGTGTGGAGAGTCTTGGCAAGGCGTGGCCTGGAACAAAGGCCAAGGTCACACCCAAGGCTCTTGCCAAGGCAAAGGCGCAGGCGGCGATGCCTGGAATGCCCATTTCGCGCACTGGAGCAAGGGCGCTAGCGGCGCTTGGGATGTTAATGGAGCCGCTGGACGGGCCAAGGGCGGCTGGGCCCATGTTTGCACCTCAGTTTGTTGCGACATAAGCATCAAGTATCGAATCGCCAAAGTGGTTCTTTCTCCAGGATTGGCAATGCTAGTCCCAAGTTGAGCAAATTCAGCATTCACTAGCAGGCTACGCCGGCTGCTGGTTCCTGGTGAGCTGTTTGCAACGCCTGGATCCTCCGGATGTCGTGCGATCGCTGCGATGCGTGTGGCTTTCATGCGACACGACAAACTTTCTACTGACTCCGTTCTCTGACTCAGTAAACTCATTGCACTCGCTGAAGGCATGAAGGCCACATGATTTTCGTCCGAGGTGAGGCTTCTGCTGCTGAAGTTTCTGCAGTTGGCACGTTGCACATCTTTCTACGTATACTTCGAGGGGTCTTTGAGGTTGTTCCCACCCACAGAGGCCTCAGAAGCTTCGCCACTGTCGGACACGATCTCTGTAAATAGTTGGGTCGCTCTGCGACTGCCTCGTTCTTGTCGACAAAAACCTGCTGTTTGCTCCGGCTCAGTTGCTCGCCTTGCTGACGCAGGATACAAGCGAAGCTGGTAGGGAGAAGCATAATAGCAGAAGTGGGAGATGACCGTCTGGTGCTACATGCAGTCTTTCCGTTATGCCAACGTGATTCGCAGTTCCGGAGATCGGGGCAGATCTCTCTTTCGAGCTGGCGGAGGCAGGAATGCTTTATGGTTTGTGCGAGTGGAGGGCGCTTGCGCTGATTCGTGCAGCTGCAAAGACAGGGATGACCGCAATCTGTTCTGTCTTGCGCGCTCGCCTAAGTTTACAAATGGACGTGTCACTTTCCTGGCGTCGCCAGTCGCCAAACGCAATGCTGCGGAACGAAGCTAAGCTCAGGTGGAGATGCCTGGGGTGTGGAAGCCCTGGAATTCGTGCATCTCCGGGTGCACCCAGTACGGCTTCACGTCGAGTTCAGGAAGTCAGACCAGAGCTGCCCCTGGCGTTGGAACTTGACCAGCCTGACCACACGCCTGGGCCCAGAACAGGGTCCTCCAGCACCCTTTAGCAACAACATCTGCCCAGGAAGAAGGATGCCTCTTGGCTGCATACTGTTGTGTCGTGTTGTGTCTGCAAAGCTTCAAGGATGTTACAAGGATGTTAAGAGTTTTTCAGGCAGTACCTCCACATGTTCTTCCCATGTTTCATGCGTGTATCTGTATCTTTCTGTTGCGAGCATCCTGCTCAGATACCTACCTCGTTGTCAGAGGCAACAAAGCCGTTGAAAAGCCATTGACAGCACGTTGGGGATTTTGGTCATGTTCTGAGCTGTTCCAGACGAATCACTTCGGGACGAGGAGCAGGAAACAGCCGACTGAGAAGAGATGGCACGGCCAAGAGTTTCACGGGCAGCCACCCCGCCTTAGCACTTGGACTTCTTGGAACCCTGCGCTGGCCTGCTCAGCCTGCTCTGAATCTCATGCGGGTTTCGCATCGGTTTTCTGGGAGGTGTCGAAGTTTGCGACCTTGAGCAAGTTGTGTGTTAAATTTCGAGCTTCACTATACCACATTTCCACATCGTTATTGAATTTTGGTATGTTTGTCTCTCCGTGGCTTTTTTGAAGCCTTTTCTTCGCCTGTCGTCTGGGGTGTTTTGACTCTGTATCCCAAGTTATCTGATCTCTCTGTCCGACTGCAAAGAGGAAAACCCGTGCATGGGTACTCCCGCACGTATGTATGTACATGGGCATGTACTTCATGACGTTCGCCCTTGCAATGGTTGCACATTCAGCTTGCTCCCGTCGTGGTGACGTACAAGTCGGGAGCATCTAATCTTGAATCTCATGTGCGGGCCTGGCCCCGGCCGAAGTGCACACCTGTGGCTCTGAGGAGGCGTTTTCGTCCACCGGGTCCAGCCCCTGGCAAAGCAAGCGTCATATTCAATATCACTCAATCCTTTTCAATTTGGATCGCTGGATCGCTGGTCATCGCAGGAGGTCGTTTGGGAGAAAGGAGTCGGAGAGTTGAGGTCCTGGCCTGGCCTGGGGGATGAGCCAAGGTGCGGGGCTTAAGCAGGGAGCAACCGGGGGTTTTGCTCCTCGAAAGGGTTTGTGAGCGTCTTGCCGGGGACACCTCAAGCTCAGTGGCGAACCCTGGCGTTTTGGTCGAGGTACTACGAGGCTGACTTTGCGGATAACAAGTTCTACGGTCCAAAGGTGCCTCTGTTCAAAGCACCGTGGCTTGTCCAACGTTTCCGTGGTTTCAAGTTTCAAGGATCGCGTGTTGGCTGCTGCATTCTTGGAGTCACCTCCTCAGCAACATGCTGTTTTGCAGTTTGCTTAGGTCAAGCTACGTCCCTTCTCGAACAGCTCGCAGTAAGGTTCTTGGGGTCGGAAGAACTCTGGGGTGATCATCTTCTGGACGAGCTCTGCCAAAGCGCAGAAGTCCTTCAGGCCCACAAGAGCAGGGTGTAGGTGATCCTTCATGACAGGCCAGTTGCAGAACCGGGTTAGTGTGTGATTCCTGGATGTCTTTTTTGAGAGCGTTCTTATGTGCTGCTGCGTTCTTATTGTATATAATAGAGTTATTTTTTTTTATGAAGACAGACTTATATAAATATATACATATATCTGTATTTGGTTGTATATATATATATATATATATGTAGTGTGCATTTGGGTATCATCATGTGTACATGGGAAACTAAATCCAATACAGCACGCGTGTGCCGGGTGCCTCTGAGCCCGTGCTAGCGCTCGCCCTAGCTGCCAATGCAACAAATGTTCCTGCTGCTTCTGTATCAGCCTGACGGTACGTCCTCGGTAATCTTGGTGCGCATTGAAACCCAGCAGAGGCAGTAGGTTTAGCATGCTGACCCTTGTTTCCCGGCCTTCACATGTGGGGTAGCGTCGGACGGATCAGCATCGTCCCCATTATCCATTACAACATGATCATAACTCATAATCTTCATGCCATCATGTCGTCCTCATGAGTCACGGCAAGAAGTAGAATAATCAGGCTTATGATTCGCCATGGCCGTCATCACAAGCACTGTCATTGTCATTACCACCACCGCCACCGTCGCGACCATCACTATCATCTTCACCGTCACCACTGCCGCCACCACAGCAACCGCCATCACCGCCACAGCCACCACCGGCGCCGCCGCCACCACCACCAGCACCAGCCCCACCCACCACCATCACCACCATCACCACCACCAGCACTAGCGGCGCCCCCAGCACCAGTGCCATCAAAACTACCGCTACCATCCGCCGTCGTCATCATCATCATCATCATCATCATCACCACCACCATCATCACCGTCATCACCATCATCACCATCATCAGCACCGCACTAGTATGGTTGTTCACGACATACAGCTGTTTTTTCATTTCATTATTGTTGCCATGGTTGCCATAGTTTGTTACTATCTTCTTGTTCATTCTTCTCTTCATTCTTTCAGGGTAGAAGGACCCAGTACAAGGGTTTGCATAGTCCAGGTTTCCAGGCCCAGGGAGCAAGGTTCAGAGCCGCAGAAGAGAAATCATTTCGTGGTCATGATGACGACGAAGCTTATGCTTAGTGTCAGCATTATGTCATTATGACCATCATACTGTTACGTCTTTAGCCACAAACCACCATCGCACTGTAAGTCTTCGGAAGATTTTGCTAGTGTTTGCAGGTGTTGTGCAGAGCCCGCGCCTTAGAACGCTGCGAAAGCGGACATGACATGACAAGATGCTTCATAGAATTTGTGCAGCTCGATATGGCAAAGATGCCTCGCCAAGGTGAGACCTCGCTGTGTGGTCCTCCTCAGGCTGGTATTGTGACGCTTGCGGTTACCTGGTCGACAATCCGTCTTTGATGCCGGACCACTTGGCCACATCATCTCTGCAACTGCCTTGTCTCTCTGTCTGCCCGTGGCTGTGTCGGTGTAAGTATAAAGTACAAGGCTGCTTATTGTTAAATGGATTTGTCGAGACGAGCCAGCGGCCTCTCAAAGACAGCCTTCTAGAAAGGCTTCACAACAAAGATGCACAGGGCTGTTTGTCCCGGTGGCAGACGATGAAATACGATGAATTCGGCTAGCGTGTGAATAGTCGTCGCGAGATCTCTTGCAGAGCCATGGCAAGCGGGCAGCTGTCGTCGCATCGGCGGCTGAGCCACTGGGACACTTTCAAGGGTGGTGCAGTGCAGAGCCTTTACCCTGAGCCGAGGCCAAGGCTCCGACAGCTCAGTGCGGCGCCCGGTCAGAGGGGGATGGAGACAGGAGACGTCCTAAAACTCTAACAAAGCCTGCAGCCGGGGAGGGATTGTTCAAATGCGCTGCTTCTTCGCTGCAGGTGAAGCGGACCCCGCTGATGTCAGCCGACAACCTGGGCCAATACCGGCTCGTTCCTGATGTGGAGTTGGCTGCTGACAAGGACTGCGTGTGGTCGCTGCCTGGAGATTGCAGACCTTTCGCCTCAGCATTTCAGACCTATTGTAAACGCTAGAATGTGGGGCTTGGTTTTGGGCTGGCGAACGGTTTGCGACTTTTCAGGTGTCAGCGATTGTCGTATGTCTGCAATACTATGCATGCATGAGTGCACGCATGCATGGAGGTAGGTAGGTACGTAGGGAGGTGTGATTTCAGGAAGGGCATGCATCTGGGAGGGAATCAGCTGCAACGACGATGGAAGTGATCTTCATTTGCTGTTTCACCATCTTTGCAGCCGAATAGACGGTGAAATCTTGGGTAGACTTCCTTGCAAGATTGACACAACCATTTCGCATGGCCGAGACGCCTGAAAGCCTTGCATCGTCAGTCTTGGTGCCTGCACCGGATTCCTTGTGTTTTTTCTTTCTGTCTTTCGTCAGACTGCACACTGAGATTACAACTGCCAGATCAGTTACCTTCGAACATCGTTCTGCATGTGAGGATGCAGCAGTTCAGCAGAAGTCCTGCTGCCAGCCCGACTGCTGGGAGGAATTGCTCCACAGTGTCGGGTTTAACGACCTTGCCTAAGCAAATCTGGAGAGTTTGCTTGTGTGTGGTCTGTGTAAGACTTGTTTATGCATGCTTGTGTTTTTGATTCTCAGCTTTTCATCTCCACGTTGATCGTTGCCAATGCCGTCGTCATTGGCTTGGAGACAGACAATGTCGGAGAAGTCTGGGCAGCAGCTCTGCGTTCTTTGAGAAAAATGTTCCCAAGCTCTTTCTGTGAGACAGATACTAGGTCCTCCGAAGGCGCTTGGCTGGTGTAGACGGTTACAGCCAACAACGTTCCAAATCTAGTCAATCTTCCCAGCTGGTGGCATGCATGCTGCTAGACGAGTAGCTAGTACAGTCTTATCTGTCAGAGTTGTCTTAGGATTTTTCAGAACTCGGCCTGTAGCCAGAGAAGACGTTGTAAGGTACGCTGAAGGAGGCATCGTGTTACAAAGCAATATGGCTAATTGAACCAGTGGGCGCCAGTGCAATGCCTTATGTCAGCAATACGCTTGAGTCACACAATGACTCATGACGAATGCCATTTTAGCTCGAGCGACTGTGTTTCCACACACGCACATCTGTGATTGAAAACTTTCCCTCGCTTGCCTTTGCTCGCCATGGCCGCACCGCCTACCACAGCTGATGCTTGGACTGTTGTCGAGAAATTTGCGGCAGCAAGGGACTTGCGGGAGATCGACGGTGCCACGCTCTTGGCACCTTTGAATGCCGATCCGGACGATGCGGAGGCAGAGATCGTGGTGAACATCACCCGCAATGACGTCTTGCCAAGCTCGAGGAGATGCAAAAGACAGCCCGTCTCAACTTGGGTGAAAGTGAAGATACCGCACAGGCGTACCAGGTAATGGAGTGGCCTGAGAGCACGGTCACATCTCCCCGTCTCTGCGAGACAGCCGAATCCGCCCTGGATGAGGAGCACTTCCGCTCGGTTATGGGCATCGGGGCGACTAGCGCCAAGGCAGTACCGATGACTGGGGGGCTGACAGGGAACCCTTGGTGCTGAGTCAGCCCCTGGCTGGCTTCGCGGCTTCTTCGGCGGCAAGATGTTGGTGGGGTGCCCAGCCGCCCTTGGCTGGTTTCGTTGCGGAGGCGGCGTCCTCGAAGCAGGAAAACCCCGACCCTGTGCAGCACTGAGAAGGCTCTGGACAGTCTTTTGAACATCGAAGTCATGCTGGAGGGCTTCGCTGCGGTCGGTGTGCACCTGCAGCCCATTTCCTCCAGTTCGGGGCAAAGCGCTCAGTCGTGGAGACCGACCACCTCCCGAAGAGGCAGCGCCAGCATGAGGCGCTCCTGAAGACCCTGGCCGCTGTGGGCTCCTGGACCGCAATGCTCCATGCGGAAACTCTACTTGGACATGAATGAGGTTTTCTGATCGAGACAGGGCCCCGCCATCCGAGCTGCCGGGATTGGCTTCGGACCACCCAAAAAAGGGAGCCTTTAACCTGAAGGGGTCTGGGGTCCCTGGCATGGCAGAGTGGGAGAAATTCGATCCGGGCAGCATCGCGGCCAAGCTCCTAAGCTGTATGCGGTTTGGAACGAGATGCTCCTTGTGACTGAGAGTCACAAGCGTGAGAGCAAGATCGCCTACAGGGAGACCGGCGCCACTGCCGCCGCCTTGAAGCAGGCAGGCCAGAGAGGAGACGATGGAGCTTTTCAAGGCCATTCTGGTTCAGCCCTGGCAATCCCAACCTCCGCAAAGTACAACGCTTGGATCAGGCGCTCTACTGAATGTCACATGTATGCAGGCATACTCTCTTTTTCACACGTGGGGACAGCTCAAGCCGCTCACAGTGAAGTCAGAAGCACTGCACAGAAAAGCCTGAGGCACTGCTGCTGGGAGACGTACGACAAAGCGAGAGCACGGGTTTTACAAGTGCGACAAAAATTCTTTGCGTGAGGCGTCGAGCTTGCCAGAGACCTCAAAGCTGGAGCTCAGTGGACGACCACACAAAAGTCCACGCGTCTCAAGCCGACTTTACGAAGGCCCAATGCCGCATGAAGGTCTTGCGGTGCGGATAGCGGTTCCAGATAGCGAAGCTGGGGCAGGAATGGTTCGTCAACAAAGTGGGGACACATGGAATGGCCAGCGCCCATCTTTATTGGGGTCGGATGGCCGCACTGCTGCTTCGACTCCTCTGCTCCCTTTTTCCTTCGATTGATTGGCAGCTTCCTCTGGTTCCTTCGAGTCAGGAAGTCGGGAGTTCTGGGAACCGACATTCTTCTTACCCTGCTTGCTTTTGGGACTCCGCTCAGCGGGAAAAAGACTTTGATTGCTCAGATCAACGCATGGCTGAAGGATTCGTATGGTCATGAAGCTGCTGGAGGACCTCGTCCAAAGCAAAGTGTTCACGCGCAAGGACATCGAGCAAGGACTTGGGGGACTGCAGTGGGCTACGACCTGCTGCCCCCTGACCAAGTCTCTGCTTCAGCCTATTTGGGCCTGGAAGCAAGCATGCGAAACACCAGGCAAGCCTGGTTCCCTGATCCGCTATTTGGCTGCACTCCTGCGAGAAATCTGCTCTGCTCCCCACATGCAGACCTCTTCATTGCAGCGAGGTTCTCTTGGTGGGGCTCTAGTGATGCGAGCGCTTCCGACCCCAAGGCGTGCGTCGGAGGCTGGTTGGCCATGAGCCCCGACAAGTCTTCGGTCTTCTGGTTCCATTACGAGGTCAAGGAGACTCGCCATCCCTGGGCCTTCGTCCGGGGTTCGCCAAAGCAACGCATCGTGGCCTTGGAAATGCAACGGTCTTTAGTCCTGAGGGCCTTCCTCATCGAGAAGACTGGCCGTCTTTAGCAGCAAAACAAGGAAGATGCCGTCGGCGGCGGTGCTGATGGAACTAACGCTCCTTCTTCACCGCACGGGATGCACCTTGGCTCCCTCCCACATGAAGCGCGACTTCAACTAGTGGGCGGACGAGTTTACGCACCCCGACTACCAGGGCTTCAACCCGGAGTGCCGGCTTCGTGTCACGCGATTTCTGAGCGGCTTTCACCTGTTACACGTAGTGCTGGACTCTGATTCCTTTTAATTTGCGACACTCCTTCACTTATGGCCCGAGTGGTGCACGGTGAGGCCGAGAGTTTCCCCACTCGCTCGAAGGGGGCGCGGGACGTTTCTCGCCGAATCGCTCGCGGGAACCCTCTTGGATTGTCACCTCCACACTTCCGCACGAAGAGGAAAAGGGGAAGCGTGCATGGTTATCCTAGGGTTCCGTTGTGCTTGTGTTTGCTGACAAGTTGTTTCACCCTGTGACATCATTCCGGGAAGGATCTCGAGATGTGTACCCTCTGCGTGTCCCCAGGTACTGGAAATTGCCTTTCTGGGCATTTTTTCCATCGAGCTGCTTCTGCGGATCCTCGTCTCCGGGCCGACAAAATTTTTCGCCTATGCGAACGAAGACTTCAGCTGGAGCGCTTTGCTTCTGCTTCTTGCAGATTGCTCTTAGTGCTGTTGAGTTGAGTCTTTCCTGTCAGACAAACTCTCGTGAGAGGAACCTGTTTGATTTTTGCGTCGTCATCGCTGGTTGCTTCGATGTTATGTTTGACTTCTCGCCGGTGAGGCACGAGAAGGCGGGAATCTCCAATCGCAGAAGCAATGCTGAGTAGCAGCACAGCAAATGTCACTTTTTGCTGTGAGGGCAGCTTCATGACCTTCTTGCGCATCATCCGGCTGTTGAGAGTCATGCGGATGATCCGGCTCTTGCGATTTTTGCGAGCCGCCGGGTTGGATAAACCGCTTCCGTCCTGCGCGTTGTGGGGATCGGATAGGCTAGGGGGTTGGGCTGCCATTATTCCGGAGGGTGTGCGATGGCGATGTTGAGATG